TCACTAATTGTCGTGCTATGCGCAACATGACATCTCCTCGCCCTCCAGCAGTAACTGATACACTAGACGTATCGTAAGAAACGTACAGTACTCAGTAGTAGTTCTCTCTATTCGATGCCTATTAGATATATATATTTATTTGTCTCGTTCCGGATGGCCCGTCGTAAAAAAGAAGAAAACGAAAAAAATATATACATATTACTACGTTTAAAACGACTATTGAAAACGAGGAATTTTTGATTTCGTAGCAACCCCGATCCCGGACGAACACGTTAAAAAATGTACGCCTATTGTATAAGATCTGTTCGTAAGCGGGATAGACAGGTGAAACGATAAAATATTATATTAACGCTGTTAATATAATGTACCCATAACCGGTGAAAAAAGTTTGGGTAATGTGTATGTTTCCTTCGCGTTGAAAATTGGATGTGAAGTCAGAATATTTTTATTTTACTTACCGGTAATAAAATCGAATTGAAAAATATTTTCATAAAACCTTAATCCACCCCGTAAAATATATATGTATTTATCATCTAATAAAACATGTGATACTTTATTTCTATATCACGCGTAATAACGCGTATTATTTTAACAATTTAATATATATACAAGATATGTTTTATTCGAAAGAATACGCCACTTACAACCATGTGTTTGTACACATACTTCGTTTTCTTCGCTGACAAAAATATAAGAAACGGAATATATATGTACTACAACTATATTTGTATTACATGTAGAGGAAAAACGACGAAATCCATTGGATTTCTGAAAACACAGAGCGGCGACCCTCAAGTGTATTGCAGGTAATATTTTTGTCAAACAGTTGCCGGGACACGGTCGGTAAAAATCCTTCACTCCTTCAAGAATCTCAACTAAATTGTCTCAGGAAACACAACAAGCCAGTGGTGATTCGGCGCGCCATGCCCATTCGTTACGATTTGTGAGCTTTCCCTGCACTACTACTAAACAATACATACCTTTAGAAAAAATCATGTAGTCTTTTTCCAATTGGCCATCTTTGTTTTACCGTTATTTCGATGCACACACACACACAAACATACCTACTCGTAAATATTGTATTCGAAGCTTACACTTCATTTGTTTCGAGAACAATAACTTATATTGATCTCACCACTGAAGCCCAGGCTACCTTCACTGCACGCAACAACGTATTTCGGTGATCAATGGCGACGTCGTTTTTACCACACGGGAGTTATGCTCTATAAAATTCTAAAATATGAACTTTAAACCTTATTACGGTGTTATTTTCGTGCCGCGTGTGATGGTATGCCATATACTACTATCATGTTGCTGAAACCGATTTAAACCGAAAATTGTACTTCAGACGTTATTGCAGCACTGTAGGCAGGTATCCGGTAAAATCATCCAATCCAATATCATCAAATGCTTCTACATTGTACACGAGTTTTATCTCACATCGGAGTAACATTTGTTTCGTCAATAAAATACATCATTTCGGAAATGTTCGCACGCCGTTAAAAAGCATACGTTTTATAAACGTACCGATGTACCGAGTTGCCCACCGTGATATACCGATGAAAATATCTGTCGATATTATAATTTTTTTTTACATTTTAGCACCTGAGATAAAATGTTAAATACATAAAGTCAAATTTGTATTTTTGTCCATTAACCGACTGGGAAAAATTACTTTTGAATATTTTATTTCTATACAATTACAATGGAAACAAGTTGTAGTACAATTTAATATGAAATTTTCAATAAATGTCGTAACGAAAATCGAAATTTCGACTTGCTAATTAATGAATATACAATTTAATACTAGAGAGTAAGCGTACCCGGAATATAACTGGCTAGTTAATAAATCAGTATAAATTAGGTTTGTAACAAATGTATAGACCATCTTATACTGAGAAATTTATATGGCTACACTATTTGCATGTTATTTATTTGAATATTTATACAATTACAGTTAACGGTGTTATATTATCGTACTAATGAGTATTTTTGTCGTAAATTTATTATTTAATTTAATTTATTAAATTGGTCAATATTATTAGCGGGTGTATACGTAACCTTTCTTATAAACTTAAACTTACTGTAATCATGAAGCCAATAACTGGATTTTTGATTGCGATTTATAGAAATATAATAACTCTTATAGCACAGCTTGTAAATAATATAATTTTATAGAAATAAAAAACTCGAAAGTAATTTTTCCGAGTTAGTTAATTGATGAAAATAAAAATTTGACACTAAGTCTTAAACGTGACCCCTCTTATTAAAAAATGAACTAAGACAAAAAAAAATTGTAATAAAAATTAATATCCCAATGGAATGGATATCAGAGATACCATTCCATCGGGGTATTACAGTGGACCTTCCTTCATAAGTTTTATGATATCAGAACTATAGGTATAAAGAATTCTAAAGATATTTTAAATTAGATAAACCCCGTTTTAGGGGTTGCTATTGAAAACCATTGTAGTGAGAAAAAACTGATCGCAATTCGCAATAAAATGCAATTATTTACACACGCGTTAATTTGGACAAGGTTTTCGAGAAAACAAAAAATATTAACTTGTATTATCACACCTATTATGTAGGTATTATTTCAGTGGTCTAGTTAAAACAAATATTATATTTTGTTTTAATAAAATATCATACACAAATATTTTATTCCATTATTCATATGATTTATAATAGGTACGTGCAGTATAATAATATTATTATGTTTGAATAATTCAGCAGCAATATTTTTAGATTATTATAGTACTCGTTATTTATCAGAGTCTTGCATACATAACTTACGAGTAGTGACAAAATGAATTATATCATTGCAGCGTTTATGTTTGTTCATGGGGTAAATGTGGTTTAGTATCAGAAATGTTTTGGAATATTTGTAGTTCGATGTACGTACAGTCCATATGAGTCAATTAAGGCGACGGGTTAAATAATTGCTTCGAGGGACACATTATTATGTCTATGAAATAGGAGAAATATGTTGAAACTTTAATTATGAAATGAGAAGTTTCGACTAAGTGCAAATTCATTATGTGTAAACTACATCGACCTGGACCTAGCTTAATGACAGAGTTGAAATGTATACAAAAATTACACGAAAGCTATGTATTATATATACTAGGTAAATTATCCATCTCTGCCGGGTACAAAAACTTAATAAGTAAGTAAATTTAATAATATTTGCAAATTCAAGTTTGACTAAGTAATACTGATAATTAGAATATAATACTATGGCTGGATTCAAATAAGCTCATATTTTAATAATAAATAGATTTAATTTAATATAGCATTAAACATTTTTTATAGAATTACATTAATACGAAGAATTAATTCATCTTCTATCATTTTCAATAATAATAAGTATCCAAAAATAATTTTTGCAAAAAATAAAAAGCATTTTTGAAATTTGGGTAACCTTGAAGAAGTGACAATCACTATAATATTTCGTCTTATTGATAATGTTTATATTATAAATAATATAGTTTACATAATATAAACTTTATATTCACCATATTTTCCTTAAATTTAACATTTGATTTGAAACTTTTGGCATAGACTTATATTTAAATATCTAGTTTCACCTGTGAAATATTATTAGAAAAAATACTAATATTATAGTGTTATATTAAATAATTGATATTTGATTAAATAATTAACATTCTAAATACATGATTTTAGTAAATAAAGAACCACTAAGAAAAAATATGAAAGTCAATATTCCTAAACAATTTAGTATTGTAGTTTTAAAGTTTCAGAACTCAAAAACTTAAGAGATAAAGTAAAAAAGAATTCAAAAAAATTAATTGTGATAATACAACTAATTGCTGATAAAATTAATAAAATAAAAATATATATATATATGTATAACACATGATATACATGTATGTGATGTATATATATGTGATATATTATGTATATATATATATATATATATTTAAAAAATAAAAAGGTAAGATGATATAAATTTCAGATTTTTTTTCTTTTTTGGCTATTATCATCTTTCCTCGTAACCATTCAAATATATTATTTTTGGTTTTCAAAATATAAATAAAATCATTAGACTGAATGAAAAATAACAAAGTATTTTGATAGAACAAATTCTTTGCATGTTTTTTATATTTTTACCTAACATGTAGGTTGTTAAAGTTACTTTTCTTATAAATGTTCTATTAATTGTGTTATTATGTGCTAATACTAGTACATTAATAATTTGTTTTTACTTAATTAAATGTTATTTTCCAATAATCTTGATTTATTGTTTTTTTGTTTTTGTTTTTTTTTTTTTTTTTTTTAATTTAATTTATATTATCTATGAATATCATATTTTTTAATATGATTAAAAAAAAATTAATTTTTCAAGTCAAATTACCAGAATACACAGTTTACTTTAGATTAAACTAAATTCATCCTGACATCACAGATCAATCGCATTATACAGTTCTGAATATTTATTCTGGTTAAAGATTTGAGTATTTGTATTCTTTCAACTGACTGGTCAAAAAATAATCAATCAAATCATTGATCCCAAGCAATATACTTTTGATATTAGGCAGTTATATCTAAAAATGTGTTTCCTGAATACGGCCATGATGTCTATTTTTTGAGCGTGAATAGTTATTAATTTATTAACCAGAAAATAATTTTTAATTTTTATTTACTTCATTTTAATCCAAGACAATATTTTAGTGATATCTGAATAATTATTATTATAAATATTAAATTCAAAACTTCCATTCCCTTAACTCTATTTTATTCAATTGATATAATTATATATAAATATTTTAAAGACATAAATGTAAGACCTTGTCATTTTTTTATTTTTTTTTTTTCATTTAAGAAACTAAACCAACATATACACAATAAATAATTTATTATAAAATAAATAATTTAATATCTGGTGCTAATATCAAACGCAAATATATTTTAAATATTTCTCACTTATAATAATTACAAGACAATTATTTATAATATGTACAAATATTATTACTTACATGACCAAGTGTAAAATGATGTTATTAAAAACAGGTCAAACCACATGTTTTATTGCAATCTGAATTATCCAAGATTGATTGTAGTGTTTCGACGGTTTATATTCAACGGATATCCTGAAAAATAAAACACAATCAATTATAGATTTCTTCAGTAATCTTTGATTTTTTTTTTTTTTTTTACATAGTTTCGAGAAAATATACCAATAGATAAAAAGCAATCTTATTTGTATTACAATTTTTTTAGCTGCTGAATACTGGAGCAGATCGACAAAATTTTTTAAATATCATGTGGTGCTACCCGCATGATTATTCAAAATGTGATCGTAAAATTCGATCGAGCATATAAAAATATACTACTTATTTCAAACGTTATTCCGTTTCCAAGTCCCATTTATTTATTTATATGAATTTGAAATCAATAGAGCTATGCAACGGTGTAAGTTGGAAAATGAATATTGAATATCTCCATATGGTATTAAATATTTGAGAAAATGGTCAGTAAAGGAGTATTTCAAACCTTTTTATAAATAATATAAAAAGAGAGAAAACATTTCTTGGCAAGACCATTGAAATTTCAATACTAGGAATTAGAAGCTTATATCTTCGAAATACAAAACGCTTTATACTGGTTTTACCCAAATAAATATAAACGATTTCTGTACAAAATTTAACATTGTTTAATAGTTGAATTGTTTATATTTTTAAGTTTTTTTTTTTTTAAATCCGATAAAAAACTATGAAACTTTTATTGTGGGTATACTAATTAAAGAAGTCCAAAAACTATAATAATAATAATAATAATTTATAATTATCCATATGTATAAGTAAAATCAATTTTATCTTATTAATGAAAATATAAAACTCAATAAAAAATAGAAATCGATTTCTTAATACCGCAAGTAAAATATTTGCAATGAATGAAGTACAAATGAGATTTTAAAAATACATATTAATGTACTTAATAAAAAATTATTAATTTCATCGAAGAAATGTAATGTACACGATATCGCGGAACTAAATTCCGATCTGGTTAGAATTTCCCATTAATTCTTTTTTTCCATGCACTCAAAACAGTTCTTGAAAAAATCAAGAATGGCTTTAAGTTCTATATTAAAAATTCATAACATTTTTGCTGCATTTCGACAACTCGAAAAGTCGTTCACAGAGAGAAAAAAACATAATAGTAAAAACTTGCAACATGGTTTCATCGCTTTGCTCGAAATCAATTATTATCAATTATTTCCGGTAAATCTAATTTCATTATTCCACACTCGTTTCATGTATATATATCATAATAATTTCAAACTAAAGATAGTTCACGATGAAACAAAATGCGTATTAAGCGTACCAACTCGCGCTCAATACTGGTCTCGGTACGAATTTTGTTGAGCGTAATATACGTATTTCAAACAGTTCGATCCACATAACCGATTTTTCATCATCGTTCACACGTCGCAGTGCTCACCGATGCGGTAAAATAAACCTGCATATTATTACGTATTGACGCTATAGGGAATGCGTTTTTATTAACCAACGAACCAGACGACTAAACCAACAGTAATCAACCTTTTTTTTCCACAGAGGGTCGTAAGAAAAAAACATTCCTTGGTGAGCCAAGAACTTAAACATTTTTCTTCGAGTTAATAAAATATTAAATATAGGTTTTTTAAACATATTCAACAACAATTTTTAATGTATATTTCGATGGATAGCACATAAATCTAATGATCCGTTAAATTTTGATTAGTGTAAATAAAATAAATTGTACTGAGCCTAAAAAATATTTCTGTGTGTAATAATTTTTTTTTCCAATTACTATACAAGTACATTAATGTCAGTTTTGACGAGGATGTTGTTCACAGGGAACATTGAATTCAAAATTTTCCCATCTAAAATTCATCCAAAAAATGACTTGAATATTTTCGTTTATATTTTTGATTTTGCATTCTTTTGATTTTAGATGTTTTTTTTTTTAATTTTTTACTCATGGATAGACATTTATACTTATATTTTCATATAATAATCTTCTAATTAAATCTCAAAACTATTTAAATTCCAAACCGTTTCGGCTTGAGGAGGGATATTTTAAACTCAGCGATATGTTGAGGTATTCCTGTAAACCCAACCCCCACCATTCCCTCGGTCCCGCAATAGGAACGTTACACCGTATCAACAAACTGTTTGTCAATTATGCATGTATCAACATATCTCCGTGCTACTTGTTGAGCGTACACGACCCCGTATTTTCGCGTCCCGTGCCATAAGACAACTACAACGATGACGACGTAGATCGATGGACAACTCCGAATGAACCCAAGCGTAGCTGTTTAAACACGAATATACGCGCACACATTTATATGTATATACTTATGTATAATAGGTGTACTTAGGATGGGTAATGTTTAAGTTGCGTTTCACGCGTTTAACTCGCCTTAAGTGATCATTAAATGCGATTATAAACCTGTACGACTGGGCGGTGATAGCGTGTTTGGAAATATCGACTTGGCTTTTTCAAAACTTCCGACGAGTGACCTTGATTTAACAAATTAGAAAAATCCACTCTTCGAGCTTCTTAAATTTCCGGTTATCAAAGAATGCGCATATCAAAGAATAAACCGTAATTCCGTATACGATTCAAAAATAATATGATCATTTGTATATCATTATATTAAGTGTAGAATCCTAAATAAATTAAACGTCTTAATCATCTATAAATAAAAGGTAAACATTTTAGTACTTATTTTAATAATATTAGCTAGTATGAGTGCACATTAGAAATATTAATTTTTGATTTTTACTTGCACTGAATAATATCAATTTACTTTAAATTTATCAAATGTAGTTATTCATTATGGAAAGATTAATTATTTATTCGGTATATCCTAATTTCATCAATCAACAACCTAATTGAACTATATACTGGTAACTAACGGATGATCACATTACGACGATTGGATGTCTAGTTTTCTTAACTTATTTTTAAATAGCCAAAAATTATAGTCAAAATTAGTGAAGAAAATAACACTGAAGATCAAACGAACGAACAGAGTGTTTGGATATGATGTAAAATAATTTAAAATGTGTTTAAAACTGTGTTTGAGCAGACGGATTTTTACGAAAAAATTGTCCAAATTTCCAACCATCAACCGCGATGATATATATCGAAGCTTTATCTATTTTCTCTTTTATTGACTAAAATGTCCGTCACCTTGAGTTAAAAGCTATAATATTTTAAGACAAGGAATTTCATCGTCAAATTATTATATTTGACTAAAAGGCTTTTAACGTTCAACGCGTTTATGATGCCTTTAAATCATTTCCTCTTAAGTACAGTTTTTTTATTACGTCGTAGGAATAAATATATATAAAACACGCCAATCAATTTATTTTTGAGCTCAAAATGCTTCCCTTATAATTTGTTTATTATATATACATTCCCCGCAAGGGGACTCTTAGTATTTACGGGCATTATGACTCCGCGGTTACCTTAGTTATGGTGGATTCTCCATTAATGAGGTTTATCATACGGCTAACCACCCTTCATGGAAAAAAAAAACTGGTTACGAATCGACCAAATATGCCGCAGATGAAAGTGTAGCTAAAAGATTTTTTAATTGGAATATGGAACGAGCGATCATTATATAGGACTGGACACTTGACGACAGTGATATCGGAGCTTGAACGATACCGGCTGGATATAGTAGCGATGCAAGGAACAAGGTGAACAGAAAATGAAAATTTAAGGACTGGAGATTAGACCCTTTTCCATAGTGGCGTAACAGAATACCATAACGTAGTTGGATTTATTGAAAAATGACCGGATACTGCTAAAAGAAGTTAAAAAATTTGAGTCAATTAATGATAGGATATGTTGTATGGAAATATAATCCAAATGGGCCCATATAGTCATTGTTAAGTGCTACGCATCAACTAAAGATAAGGACTATGAGGTAAATAATATATTCTATGATAGATTAGATACAGTGTTTGACCTTATATCAATAAAGTAAAATTCCTAGTAAAGGATTTCAATGCAAAAGTAGAACAAGAACTAATATACAGGCCAACGGTTGCAGAATATAGTCTGCATGAAAAGACAAGTGATAATGGTACTAGGCTAATTAAATTAATTTTGCTTTGACAAAGAACATGATAATGAACAGGAAAACATTCCCATATAAAAACATACACAAACGTGGATGTCATCATCTGGGCAGACAAGAAATTAAATAGACCATGTTACAATGGAAAAAAAAACTATGAGATGGATCACAGACGTTCGGAGATTGAGAGGAAGTAATGCAATATCGGACCATTTTCTCATTTTCATTTATCAAAATCAGACTTTCAGTGGATAGAAAAAACAAACAGCACTGCCCAAAATATTGAACACAGAAGCCCTAAAAAACCATTCAATGAAAGGATAGTACAAAAAAAGATTAACAAAAGCATTACAATTGATATAAAAAACAGGGAAGTTAAATGAAATTTGGTATAGTACACAAAGTATAGCACACATAATAGAGAATAAATGCTATTTATCCATGGTACCACTGTTCAAGTCAAAATTACTTTCAAGAAAAACAAAAATTAGACTATACAAAACTCTAGTCAAATCTATTGTGTTATATGCACGTGGGGCATGGGTTTCAGCAAAGACAGACGAGAAAAAGCTAATGATTTTTGAGAGAATCTTCAGTCCTAAAAATAATACGGAAAACAATGAATACGAAAGAATAACGAACGCAGAATTAAAAGAACTGTATGACGAAACCGACATAGTAGGTATTCTAAAAAGCCAAAGACTAAGCTGAGCAGGACAAATATGGAAAGCAAAGGATAGACCAAATCGAAAAAGACTAATAGGACAACCAAGACACGGTGGAATGGCCATGTCAAAGAAGATTTGAAACTCCTAGGATTTAAGAATGGAGAAACAAGAGCAGTGGATAGAGAAGCACAACGAGATATAGTAATATAGGTTAGCATGGCCTAGAATAAGCCAAAAAAAAAAATATATATATAGTTATTAATATTAATTTGTACCGACACGATATTTTATAATATTATCATTATGAAATCCAAAATCCCGAACGAATTTTAAGTTTCAGACC